ATTCCAAATGTATACTTGTATTTTAGGAATTTATGCTTCTACTATAAAGATATAAATAAGTTTAAAATATAAATTGTGTTTTCAATCGAGAAGATATGTGTAAACATAAAGACATAAGTACGGGCATGCCCCACCTTCCCCAATACATACACATATATATATATATATATATACATATATATATATATATATATATATATATATATATATATATATATATATATAATTATCCTTTTATGGGGTGTGGCTTAAGTTCATATATCTCTGCGCCCGTCTGTATGCGCGGTGAACAAGCGTGCGCCCTTCGATGAATGCGTGTGTGCACATGCGTCTATCTGAATGTTCGCCTATTTTTCATATGATTGCCATTTCGTTCGAAAAGGAATGGAAACCCTGACATGGATGGCAGATATTGGGCGTCAAATAATTACTTGCTCAAAGGCGAGATGTCATCCACAGGTGCATTGATTGTTGCATTTTCCTCTCTTTTAATTAAGTCTTCGTTTATGTTGTTGTTGTTTTTTTTTTAATAAAAAAAACATAAAAGATAACAACAACAAAAACGAAAAAAAAAAGCGAAAAGACGTAAAAATACTTTTACGAAGAGCAAACTATGATGATGTTCTTTAAGTTTAAAAAAATAAAGCCATAAGCGAACAGTTGAAGAATAAATCTTTTATTGATGAAATAGAGCAAAAACAATATCGACAATCTTAGGACTAATCTATGACGAGAAAAACAAAACAAAAAAAAAAAAAAAAAAAACAAAAAAAAAACACAGTAGTTAAATAAAATCAAATAAACAAGAAAATAGAAGTGCAAAAATTAAGAAAAGAAAATTCCTGTTATAATTTAATCTATATTGTTTTTAAAACGTATAACAAGACTCCGAAGTATTAATAATTTTTCTTTCTTAATAGTAGAGAAAATTATATTATAACCGGTCGGTAGCTTAAGTTAATATAACAGATATATTTTATTATATTATCATGTTATATAATATAACAGATCTTTATCTTATTTGCTATTTTATCATTAGACATTTTGTCGAGACGGAAAGAAACATTTTTTTTCACATATGCCGATTAATTATTAAAATTCATCTACATATTGATATTTTTCTGCAAACTTACACGGAATGTTAATAAATGCCTTGAAAAAAATTATATCTGCAATAAGCCATTAATTGAAAATAATTGATTTAAATATTATTTTCATTCCCTCTAAAGTGTTAAATTCTACTTTTGAAATTCAGTGGAATAAAAAATCAATTTTCTCTTAAATATTCTTATTCCGGTATACTGCGTGGAAATGCTCTAATTATTATTATTATTATTATTATTATTATTATTATTATTATTATTATTATTATTATTATTATTCTACTACTACTAAATATTTTTTAGATTTAATTTAATATTTTTGAGTGCGAACAAAAAAGTCGTAAACATGAAGGAAAGTAACTGAAATACAAATTTTGTCAATTATTATAAAATATAGATTTTCTGTGCAAAATAGAAGTATATTTTGTTTTGCTTGTTTAATTCTTTTCAAGATGCTAAAACTAAGAAAATAACGCATGCACATTGGCACATATTATTAGCTATTTTATTTTTGTACTTTGTTTCTCTGAATTTTAGAATCACTTTAAACACACAAGGAAATATTACTGAACGTAATTCACTTCAAATTATTATAAATACAATCGAAATATTTATACAGAAATATATTCCGTTTAGAATGGTGAATAACAATGGTGATAACAATAATCCCAAACGGTTAATATCAGAGAAATTTATCATGAACAACAAATTATTATTTAAATGTAGTAACCATAATTTAATTATTAGCACCATAATTAATTTGCATAATTGGCAAATTTAAAATTAATTAAATGTACAAATATACGCAACAAATTTAGCTTAGCACAAAATTCAGATATTGTTATTATGATAATTACTGCATATTTTTTAAATGCTATGTTGCTGAGAAAACTTAACCTCTTTTGATAGGTAGGTATTTAATTTAACGATGTTATAATTTGTGTTGCTTGTATCTCTAATTGCTATAACGTTCTCTGAGAGGTTGGTTGTTGCTAGTACTTTAAAAATTATGGGATGACTAACATTTTTATTATTTATTAATAAATCAACCGTTATCAAAACATTAGTGGGAAAGATTCTTTGTAAGAGGTTTTAGAAGATTAATATCAAACTGGCAAAATACAAGTTTGTTTTGATCTCTTCAGCTACCAAAATAAATAAATAGTTTGTTATTTCTTCCAGATGCCAAGAAAAATAAAATTTGAACAGTAGTAATTCTCCATTAGAAATATCATTGCAAATAAAATCTATGGAATTTGAAAATTATGCGGTTTTAAAATTTACTCGTTTTTAAAAGAAAAATACTTTAAAAATAAATTTTTTTGTTTGACAAACAATTCAGACAAATATAAATAACATTTCAAAATAATTATTTATCGACATTAAATAACATACATAGTTAATTCTTTCAGCAAAAATATTCTTCTGGACACTATTAACGGTCCTTACGTATGCAACCTATAAATAACATTTGTTAGAATTTTACGATTTGTTTTACTTCCAAAATTTTGTACAGTCAATTGATTTAGAGGAAGCAAGCATTTTTAATAAAGTTACCAAATATTAACTAATTACTAACCATTTTGAAAAGATTTTTTAATTTGTATAATTTGTGTATTTTTGTTTGTATTTTATATATCATTTTTTTTTAATATAAAAGATATGATGCTTGCTCCTTTGTGAGTGTAAAACAAAACATATGAAGATGGGCAACTCAAAGTGCAATAATAGTAAATGATCTTATGATGTATGTGATAATTACGATGGAGATCGATCCTTGATGGGCGGTTATACTTCTAGCCTTATGGCAAACTTAGTAAATAACAGCAATATATATGCAGATATAGAAACCTGAAAAAAGAGAGGGTAGAATTGCTTTTAAGAATTAACATAAATGAATGGTTACATTTTTAAATAATTCCTTTCATTTTTTGATAAGTAAACTCTCATATACATATGTGCGTATATATATATATATATATATATATATATATATATATATATATATATATATAGTATGTGATTATGTGGTATATTTCTGCTAACACAAAATAGTGCACATGAGCGAAACTATGACGAGAAAAACAAAACAAATGTGTATGCAGAAACAGAAAAACATGCATTAACATACCCATAAATGCGCCATAAATCGTTATATATATATATATATATATATATATATATATATATATATCCCAACACATGGGAACGTGGCAGAGTGGTTAGAACGTTTACTTTCCGAATCTCACTATGGTCGATTTGATACGAAGGTGACTTCTTGACGCTATCGGTCTGTGCCTGAAAACCATACCACTTGGGTTGATGGAACAATTTAGGAGTTAGCATGAAGTCACAAATCATCGTGACAGAGGGTTTGAGAGTACTGGCTTTATTCAAGGTGCTGATAATGCGCTCGCGACCAGTAACTAAAGTCCTCTCAGTATAGTTATAGTATAAATCACATAAATGTACATATGCAAGTGTATATATATATATATATATTAGGGGATGTATCCATACATGCATATATATATATATATATATATATATATATATATATATATATATATATATATATATATATATATATTTAGTATATACATATGTATATATATATAAATATATATATTTGGGGTATATATATATATATATATATATATATATATATATATATATATATATATATATATATATTTGATATATATAAATTTAATATAAGTAATATACATACATTTTATAATGATTCCACTGAAATATTTTACAATTGTATTTTCTTTTATGATGAATACACACACATATACATACATGTATAATTAAAAAATTGGGTCATCACGTTTCTCTGCTTTTGATATTAAACTGGACTCGGCTAAATGTATTAACTATCTTTATACATTCATAAATAAATATTCAGGTTATTACATTAATATTTGTATATATTAAAAAATGATTATATAATTTAAGTTTCAGATAAAATAAATAGATACTACATATATATAATTAAATAAATTTGATTTGCATTGCAAATATATATATAGAACAATAAGAAATATTAAAAAATTAAAATCTTCAGACACACTGGATTGTATATTAATATTCCTTTCGTTTTTATTATTATTTCATTTAGATTCCGCGACTAGTTTCGGCCAACATGGCCATCATCAGGAGAAAAAAAAATTCTGCTTGCTGGTAGCAGTGAACTACAGAAATGAATGTCTTGATGGAGACAATGTACTTTTGTCTGTAGTTTTCATTTGTTTTTTTTATTTTTTAACATGAATTTTGGTCAGTTCTTGTGTATATATATATATATATATATATATATATATATATATATATATATATATATATTATAATTTTAAATTTAAAAATATGGTTCCATCGCTACACAGGAATTACCATGTTTCAAAAACAGAAACTAAACCTTAAATTTAATTATAGAATTAAATATTATTCTTATTTTATATAAATATATATGTATATTATAATTATAGAATTAAATATTATCATCATTTTAATATATTTATATATATGTTTGTGTGTATACAGAAGATACAGTATTATTATTGTTATTGTCTATTATATATATATATATATTTATATATATATATATATATATATATATATATATATATATATATATATATATATATATATTATGTGTCTGTGTGTGTGTGTGTATTTGTGTGTGTGTACAGGAGATACAGAATTGTTTTCAATAATATTTCTACCGTCATATACTATATAGTCTGCAACATCCACACACCTACACGCAGTTAAAAAGTTTTGTTATCTATTAACATTTTAAAGTCTACACAGTGTACATAGGCATGTTGGGAGAGAGATATTCAAAGACACACCCTATAACACTATACACGATACGAGATATTTAATACAAAT